ACACCAAAACCCCCCCCCCCCCCCCACACACACACACACACAAATTCGTGTAGATTCAAACTTTTCAGACCTTTATGTCAAAGTCACAGTTCCTTGTTCGATTGCTTTATCAGATTGGTAAATTAGCGAAGCTTGTTAACCAATTCCCAAGATATAAGTGTTGTTTGTTTTAGAACCAATAGCATTGTGTGTGTACTATTCTAGTCCCAGCTAAAATATGTACCAACACATATCTTTATCATTGTTTTAAATATCCCCGACATGGCCCGATATATCCCCCGATATATCCTTTTACAGGGCTTGCCGTAACCGATATGCTCTTTAAATATCCTTTACCGTTTTTGGCTATTTAAATCTCCGATATAGCCGATATATTAGCCGATATGTGGACCAAATAATCTTTTTATATAGCTTGTTGCAAAATAATATACCGTGTTTGGAATTTTTGGGCGAGATATCAATATTTTCCCATTATATCAAATGACATTTTGCCCTAAAAAAAGCAGATTGAATGTTGCAACGTTGCTTTGCACTTTTGTTTGTTTTAGAAGGTTGATTAGTGATCCTAAACATATATTATTCATATTTTGTATGCTTAAATTTCATTACATGTGTTGAGATTACATTTTAATGCATTATACTATGTATGCAAACATTCATTATGGCATTCCGATATTTACCACATCCCCGATATTTCCCCGATATCCGCAATCCGATATGAATTTTGGCCATCCGATATTTCCCCGATATCCGATATTTAAAACCTTGATCTTTATAGATTTCAAGACAGAAACCAGTCAAAACCATAGCCTATTTCCGGGCACCGGATCTGTGTCCTAGGCAGAATGCTGTTTTATAATTGCAGAAACAAAAATAAGGAAAATTTTAGAAAAAAATTAGGAAAATAGATGAATATGGAAGGAAAAATAGAGTTAGAGGATATAAGAAGACAAAAAGAAGAAAAGAAAGGGTAAAACTAAAATATTAATAACTAAAAAATTAAATAAATACACCTCTTTGAAGATACTTGCCTTCATCCTCTTTGGAAGTGTCATCCTCGTCACTGGAGGGAAGGAGGCCTTAAATGTCGGAAGCTTGACTGCAGAATGGGATTGCCTTGGCCATATTGTATAACTGTTCAAGCAGAACTATTTTTTTCCATAAGCTTCAGCTCTTTCATCATCCAGGATTTCATTACTACCCACGGAGTCCGGTGCAAGTCTTCAGGCCTCAGTGGACTGTTATAAGTTGTCATTCCTTCAGTTCTGCATCCCATACTTTAGACTTATGTTCCATGCAGTGTCGATTTTTTGGTAGCAATGTGGAAAGTGGGATCCTGCAAAACCATATGGGTTAATACTGCAGAGATCATGATGTTCAGGAAACATGAAACAACTTGGAAGATGGAACTGCAAAACAATATGTGTTAATACTGCAGAGATCATGAGGTTCGGGAAACATGAAACAACTTGGAAATTGGAACTAACAGTTTTGTTTATCAAGTTCCTGCCTTTCATTAAACTGATAGAGAGTTCTATAGATTCTATAGAAATATAAGTAGCTCCAAAGATTTAGGTAGATGGAAAAACCTTTAAGGGAGTCACTCTAGTATAGAATCTGTACCTCTTTACTTTGTTGTGCTTTTCGTAACTTCAAATGGCATATGTTTAAAGTTAAGTGGTCAAAGAATATAGTATATTCCAGCAGGAAATGTTAATATACACATTTCAAAGGATATTTGCATTTAAAAGAGGAAACATCAGGGAAGCATATTCTTTTAACCATTTATTTTCTGAATATATTGAGCAAAGAGGTTGACTTGGCCTTTACAACATTATACAGTCGCAGTTACAATGCCAACGGAAGTTATTCATGTGTTGAAAAAAAGAAAATGAAGGAGCTATTTGTTTTTGGATGAACAGATTTCTGTCTTGTTTTTATTTTTGAATTTTTTGTAATCTAATTATATTTTGGTTTTTAATAGTGTCTTCTTTAAGCATTTTGTGCAAAATTCAACGTGCAATCAATTGGTTTTACATTTCTTACCTGCTAAATTTTAGTATTACCTTGAAGCATGCTAGGGACAAGGATAATTAATGTTCAGTTCAAAGTGAGCATCTTCAGTTTCTTTCAACAGGCTATGAAGTCCTACATATGGCTGCAAACTGTTGATGGATCTATCCAGCAAGTAGAAGAGGAAGTTGCATTGTTCTGCCCCATGATATGTCGAGAACGGCATCAAGCAGGCATGGGAGCCTCAAAGAATTATGCCATATCTCTACCACAGCGAGTCAATCCAGCCAGTCTAGGATTGATACTTGATTATTGCCGGTTTCATCAAGTTCCAGGTCGTTCCAATAAGGTTTGACAAATCTAGAATCTATCTTGCTTTTCCCTTTACTTATTTTGAGGGGATGACATTCATTTTCAACTACAACACACACTAATTTGGCATGGTGTTTAATATGTCACTGACTTTCCTTAATATGACATTGAACTTTGTATGATATAAAAGTTCTCGATTAAATTATTTACTTGTATCATTTGTATAGTTCAGTAACATTCAGTTGTGCCGATAAATGACTTTTTTTACTGTAGGAGCGAAAATCCTTTGATGAAAAGTTCATCAAGATGGATACGAAAGGATTATGTGAGTTAACTTCGGCAGCTGATGCCCTCCAGTTAAGGCCTTTAGTTGATCTCACTAGTCGAGCACTTGCCCGCATGATAGAAGGAAGAACTCCGGAGGAGATACGGGAAATCTTTCATTTACCTGATGATCTCACAGAGGTATAGTTGAATAATAATCTTTTGCTTAATAATTATTTCTCTTGCCTCGTGCTTGGAAGTTTTCTTATTGTTCCCTAAACTTTTTGGTATTTATCAGGAGGAAAAACTAGAGCCATTGAGAAATATTACTGCTGATCCTCGGATTAGATTACTAAATCGACTTTATGCCAAGAAAAGAAAAGAACTAAAGGAACGGCAAATGGTGCAGGTGACTAGACTAAATTGTGCAGTTTCTGTTTCTGACTAGCTCTGTTTTTTGGCGTCACCATGGACTTTATTTTGGGATAGGTTATGGAGTAGTAAACTTTGATAGTGAAGAAGGCTCTAATAAGTCAATCTAGTGTTCGGCTCTGTTCTCACAATTTTCACTTTTGTTGGATTACAAAGGGTGGTCCTGACTCTTGACATCTTAAACATTTCTATTTCAAAGTGAATGTGCTTTGGCTTTCGATCTTTACGTGTGAGATTTATTTCTTGATGAAAGAGGAGCACGTGGGTGTTGATGAACGTTCAGTTGACGACCTTTTATCTTTTATAAATGGAAGGGATAGAGGTAATTTTCTTGGGAATTATTGAGTCTGTCTGCGATATGTTTTGAAAGTTTCCTGACTAATAATTTAGCTGCTACCACTAGCTTCTGCGTATATATATTTTTGCTTCCTGTTGACGCTTCTATTATATTCCTTTTCTACAGATGTTAAATGTGTCAGAGCTACAAAGAACAAAAAGAAGAACAAGAGAAAAAAGGATCACCGAAAAGATTCTCCTAATAACAATAGCCTCAGCAATACCTGTAAGAAGGTCGATATCATCTTACTTTTTATTGCAGATTTTTTGGAGACTGCATTTTCTAGTTGGCAGTTGCTTACTCTGTCTTTATTCATTTTAGGATGCTGAGAATCTTTCAAATACATGCAATAAATCTGGTGGTACCTTTTCTTCAAGTCCAAGTAGAAGTTCAGAATTTCGAAACACCTTACAAGATCCTTTTGCAGAAGAAGTTGAGTTTGACGATGATGATACAGATGATGGTTTAGATCCTGTAATGAAGGAAAAGTTGGACAGGTAGCGTTCATCTTTTTTTTTTTTAAATTCTGTTTACAAACTATGTAACGTAAATTATGTATTTCTGAAAAAAAAGGCTGCACCATGAATCCATCCTCATGAACCCAGCCTTTAGCACAGCTGCGGAGCTGCCACCCACAACACCTATTTGCATATTATTATAGGAGCGAGTAGGCTATAAATGATATGAACATGTCAAAATTTTATTTTTTTCGTGTTAGCATAGAAGTTTCTTGCCTATGTATGAATGATTACTTGGCAGCTGTTTTTGTTGCTTTGAGTTGATGCTATTTTAAATGAGTACTTCCTATCACTTTTGTTGGTTTTTTATTGAATCTTTATTACTATCACCATATGTTTACTGGTATGCTTTCTGTATGTCTCGTGGAAGTCTTTAAAGTTCAACTAATGGTGATTTCATCACCACAGATTTGTTTATGGATTCTTGAGGTTTCCAAAGGCTCAAATACAATTATAAGTTACTTCTCATTCCAACAATGGGAAATTGTTCGTTACAAAAAAAATTACCTGAATTGGACTACCATCAACTTGTTACTTTGCCTCGTCAATTAGCATGCCATTAACTTTCTGATGCGTGTCTATTTGGTACAGTCATACCCTAAGTTAAGTTCTTACTGTCACTGTACCAATATCTTTTATATACCATCAATATCCCAGACCTTTCCCTCAAAGAAATTGGTATATACAAACCAGGGTATTCTAGTTAATTTTAAACTCTACTTTTTTTCTTAATGCTACCAAACCTATGTCTTTTGTAAACTCTGTCAGAGTTGCGCTTTTATCTTTTCACCGTTTGTCCCAAGCTAGGATAAAAGAGGATGATTATATCAGGTGGCTGACAGTCAATGTAAAACCTAGTTGGATATATATGGTATGAATCCTAAAGAATATTTATTGGGACACCCACCAAGAGGCATTGCATTAATGCCACCCCGATAAAAATGCAATAATAAGTTGGCAAGAGTGGGTTTGTTGGGGCGTTCCCTTAAAGTAACATTTTACATTGAACTACTTGGATGTAATGATGGTAATAAATGATGCATTGTGAATCTTTTGGTGCCACATTGTTTCTCAAATATAATGCCATAATATAGGAATAAACATAGACTAAGAGAGTCACATGGAAGGAAGGGATTACAGACCACATAGGATTAGCTTATCAACTTGGACTTGGTAGATTCATGATTAGAAGAAGGGTTAATATAAATTGTTTACATAATTACGTGCTTACTACGAGCGTTTCATTCTCAATAGTAATGTTAACCATTGGTCCAGGAACGTAGATTGAAAAGTATTAACTTAAATTGTCAAAAAAAAAATCAAAAATCAAAAAAACTGAATGCTCTTATGTTTGGAGCAGCAAGGACTCTAAACTCTATCGTCTCCATGTGAACATGCATGGTTCACACTTTAACATAGCACCACCCAGTCTACAAACACTAATAAAAGCGGTAGGAGATGATTATATTTTCTTGTTTGACTTTTCCCCTACTAATCTACAAACACCAGTAGCCCGTTGGCATTTGTTATAATGAACTCAAATTTCCAGTGCGGTAAAACATGAACCGTTACGAGTACATTTGGGTGCATAGCATTTAATCACATTTTTTATGCTGACATAAGTTAATTATGCATGTGTATGTATTTTTGGGTTATGTATGGTACACTTGATATGAGCTTCTATCTCATTTACAAAATGAGTTACCGATAAATAGTAATAGTGAGACCATTTACTTTGATGCAAGGTTTTAAATATCGGATATCGGGGAAATATCGAATGGCCAAAATTCATATCGGATTGCGGATATCGGGGAAATATCGGGGATATGTGGTAAATATCGGAATGCCATAATGAATGTTTGCATACATAGTATAATGTATTAAAATGTAATCTCAACATATGTAATGAAATTTAAGCATATAAAATATGAATAATATATGTTTAGGATCACTAATCAACCTTCTAAAACAAACAAAAGTGCAAAGCAACGTTGCAACATTCGATCTATTTTTTTTAGGGCAAAATGTCATTTGATATAATGGGGAAATCTTGATATCTCGCCCAAAAATTCAAAACACGGTATATTATTTCGCAACAAGCTATATAAAAAGATATATTGGTCCACATATCGGCTAATATATCGGTCATATCGGTGATTTATCACTCAAAATAGCCAAAAAGCGATAAATGATATTTAAAGACCATATCGGTTGTGGCAAGCCCTGCAAAAGGATATATCGGAGGATATATCGGCCATGTCGGGGATATTTAAAACAATGCTTTGATGTGGCTTACGGAGGCGTCCCCATCATTGATATATGTCTTGATAGTTATTTATTCAAAATGAGCTCTCAATTTATGCTCATTTTTCCTATTTGGGTGTATGTGTATACTGGATATTGGTTGCTACCTCCTGTATCAAAATGGGCTACCACCTCATA